TCACTTCCTTGAACATTTTCTCAGCTTGCCTGTAAAGTGCCTGGTGACCGTTGTCATCTAGAAAAAAATAACATAAAATGATTAAATGCGTTGTATTCTTAGGCTCATTCAACCCCAATGTTTTATTTCATCGCTCGTTTCCGATTACAATAGTATTATTATTCAGAATGGAGAGCGTTTATGAAACTAAAATGAATTACTATCTAGTGCAAATTCCAAAATTTGAAATAATTTTTTAAATAATTACTGTGTGATTGAACTAACAGCTTTCCACGTTCAACACTTTTCATCTCTTTTCCCGTTTTCGTATTTCCATTACTGCTAGGAGTAAAAAAAGACTGAAAAATAAAATGAAATACAAATTGCGAACTTCAAAAATAATTAGATCATTAGGTTGCCAGTTATTGCCAACTGAAATTGGCCTTGAGTAGGAATACATAAGGTAAACTAATACAAGTTTCTTTGAATATTAGTCTTACTTTCTATTTTATTATTATTATTCTCCCATTATTTTTCAAATTGTTTCATTGTTACTTCTGCATATTGCTTGCTTGATTATTACCATTACATCGATCAGTACTATTAGGTCGTTTCAAAAGTAATTTCGCTTTTTTCAAACGGGCACTACATTTGACGGAATAAATATTTCTATGAGATTTTTGAAGCATTCGATGCAGAATTTTATTCTCTTTCTAATGGTTATAAAAATCTTGTAAAACATACAACGATCTTTCGGAAAAAACCAAAATCTGCGACCCATGCTTTTTGAGATGGCCAAGTTTCACAATTTTTTTAAAACTGTCATATCAATCCTCAGAAGGAGTTCAAATAAGGATTCGATAAAGTAAACCTTATAGAATACAGCACTGCTTTTTTCTCCTTTCCATAGCTTGTTATACATTTTTGACAGAATTTTGACTAATGCTACCGAATTCCATACTATGGCAGCTAAATCCTCGTAGAATATCAAAAGAAGAGCAGCTCGCGCAGTATTCGATGCAGTATTTTCTCCTCTTTCTAACAGTTGTTTTTTGTTTCCGATTCGTTTAGTTTCCGGGAGAAATCATCATGACTCATTTTTTTAGCGAGCCCCAGGCTGTATCCGAAAAACCCGAAATTTGATATTTCGAATCCGTAAACTCTCACTTGCATTGTAAAACCAATATTAAGTCATATACGATCTTGGAAGTTTCAAATTCCGAATAATTACCGTTGTTTGATGCGATTGTGGCTGACGTAGGCCTGCCAAAATCCAATGGATTTCTTGAAAAATCTTTTAAAAAATTACGGCAAGCTAGGAAAAAAAGAAAAAAGTAGTACAGTATTTTATAAGTTTACTCTATCGAATCCTTACTTGAACTCCTTTTGAGGATTGATATGAAAGTTTTAAAAAATTGTGAAACTTGACCATCTCAAAAAGCATGGGTCGCAGATTTTGGTTATTTTCTGAAAGCTCATTGACTGTTTTGCTGCAGTTCCATAACCTTTGGAAGGAGAATGAAATTCTGCATCAAATACCTCTAAAATCTCTTAGAAACCTCGGTTCCATCAAATGTGGCGCCCGTTTGAAAAAAGCGAAAATACTTTTGAAACGACCTAATATTTTTTTTGAATTTTTTTTTGCTATATCTGTGAATTTTATGCCCCAAGGAAAGCTTTCCCATAAATATTTCCACATATAATTGTGGAACAAGCATTGATCTCTTAGCATCTCCTTTTCGCTCTTTTAATACCTTTTTGTAACATTACTGAGTAAGTAACATTCAAGTAAAAAAGCAAAGTCTATCGTACGCCAATTGTGATGTCTGCTCGCGTTTTCTTCAATGCATATCCAATTTCTTTTTCCATCAAATCTGATGAAAATCCTACGGCAAACTTTGATGGGCCATGCATAAACAAATTATCAACCTATGTTTGATTTTACCCCCTATTCCCCCCCCCCCCCTCCTTTCCCAAAGCGAATAAATTACTTGACATTTTCTAGAATTCCATTGCACTTTCGTTTCGCATATAAAAACCTAAATGAATTGGAATGACATCCAGATTAATGGTGCACAAAGGTCTCTTAATGGAGAAACACGAGTAAAGATGTTGTTAGCGTTTTTTTTGCAAAGCCATCTCTAGGTTTTCTATTTTTTCATCTCCAGGTAGTTGTGTTTTTCTTCGTCAGTCTCTTTGAAAATGATTACAGCTTTATACTTATCAGGTGGACAAGTATGAAATTATTAGTTGTAGAATACTTAATGTCTGAAATAGTCTCGAAAACATAAAAGTTATATATTTGTAGTAATTACAACTACATTTTTAAAAATTCTTTTTTGGGGTCAAGAATACTGTGAATTGATCTGGGTATAGAATCAACTACTTGGATTTTGTCGATGTAATTCGATTTTTATTTGATATCATTCATCCGTACTGCTACTGTTTATCTTGAATAAGGTGCAGCCGTGATGTCGCAACGTTTTGATCAGAAAGTTTTGAATAAAATTCCAACAACGAAAAAATATTCACTGTCTTTTGAAAAAATTGGTTATAAACAATTTCTTGAATCGATGAATATTGCCTAAAATTTTCCAATCATCATGTACACTGCCTCTTGACACTACTTTTTTTGTTCATGCTAATCGAGTGTTTCTGACACGGCAACCGCATTTCGAGGTTTTTTTTACATTGCGATATAATCACCATATGGTTTCGGCATTTCTGAATGATTCTGGTTGGCTATAGTTGTAGTCCAGAAAAGAAAAATTCAGCTACTTCAACTCATCAATAATATGCTCGTTTCACAAGACTCAAAGCCCTCAAGGCTTAGTTAACAAATGTAAGTCTTTGATTCTGCTGTCTGACATCAACAACAACGCCTCCTCATTTTTCTTCGTTCATTTTTTCTCAGTTTCCACTCACCACCCTTGCTTCATGTACATGATTGATGTAGGGCAAAGCTGAATCATTGCTCTGCTGTTTCTGTCGAAGTCCAATTTTGAGAGTTGATTCCAAAAAGCGAGGTCCAATTTCGGTTATATTCCTCAAATAGTATCTTCAAATTAAAAGCTGAAATCTCTCCGACTCATCGTCAGATGCATCACCCTAAAAGTTGTGGAATTGCTGCTTTTAAGATATTTGTAGTATTGGATGTTTTCGATTGAAAAGCAAGAATCAGCGAAAAACAATGAGAAGCACAATTTGGAGTTAATTTGTAAGAAAAATGACCTCATTATCCCAGCCACAGTGTAAAATCGAAAAGGGGCAGGTGTGGAGCATTACATAGAACGAATTAAGCTTAGACTCTAAAATCCCTTTTGGGAAATTATGGCTTGCTCAAAGTATGAAGTTAAAATCTAGAAGCAATTCATAAAGCCAAAAATAGGTTCTTTTATCCAAAATAGTCCAAATTCTCACTTCCTCTTCCACAGCAAACATGCAGTTGCTCATATGTACTTGCCTTTTTTAATCGGTGGCTAGAAAAAGAAAATAAAAAGGAAATTTAAATAGGCACACTCCGCCCCTTGCAGCACCTGGGCACCTCCTTTTTGTATGTGCACTTGTATTGCAAACCAAATCCATAAGCAAAGAAACTGTACCATTCGAGTTCTAGGTTTCAGAAACTATGAAATTTACCGTCAAGAAAAGCAGCAACAACAATCATAAGCTCTTTCCAAACCGATTTACAAATAAAACCCATATATTAGGCTGCTGCATAAGTTCTGTCCAATTTGAATTTTTGAGTTCAAAATTTCAGAATTTCTTTCAAAGTCAACTTTTTTCCAAGATCTTAGTTTCTATGCGTTGAGAAGTTCCTCGGCTACATATTAAGATCTGCGATATAGTAAATAGATAGGTAGTAAATCTGCAACCTAATTGCGAGAAGGGTAACTCTACAAAGAAGAGTTTGTTCTCCTGGAACTAGTAAATTCTTCAAAAGCCCAAGAATCAAGACGATAGGACCTTCGACATCAACCGCTCGTTTGAAACATAGTGGGTTCGAGCAGATGTTCACCACGTGCAGCCTGTTTTTGGCCTTTGTATTCATGGCTCATTTATCATCCTATAGAAAGCTGTTAGCGGACCACACACAGTTCTGAAGGAGAGTGACTTGTACTTTGCCAAGGCAACTGTTTTGCAAACCGAGTTGTTAGGCTGTAAAAGAAATTTTCCGCAATAATTTTATTTCATTCAAAAAGGCGTAGGCAACCTTTTTCATCTGTAAAATGATTTTCTGTTGTAACGTGTTTGGTATCATGTCATACACAAACAAATATTTTTTCCTCATGAAAAATCGAAGGAGAAGCTCGAGAACTACATCTTTTCGAGAAGTATTTTGAAGTATAAATTGTATAATTTTTTCTTAATCAGTAAAGCTCGTCATAGAACATGAATAAAAATAAAATTAATCGTTCTTGAGCTTTTCAGCTTTTTTGGCAACATAAATTTAGAAAAAATACTTGAGTGTACGTTTGCCAGCTTTTCTCGATTTTAAAATAAATAATTTCTGTTTCAACCACCGCTTAAGGGCGCATGATTTCTCCTCTGTTGGTTCAACTGGAATTGAATTGATATATCGCACATACATGTATACATGTACGCTCATTGTATGGAACAGCACTCGAAGTAAGGAAAATCAAGAAAACCCAAAAGTGGCAAACTCCGCCCCTATTCTCTAAACTCCTCCCACTTGCTTTGAACATGAATCACATTCCTTCGTGCGTACAACTGCAATTTTTGCCTTTGCATGAGCCTTTACAAGATAACTATATTCGAACCATTTGTAATTTAATTAACTATTACACACCATGCGCGCTACTTGACGAGTCACAAGATTATAACCCTGCTCATTCCCGTGATTTCTTATTTTTGTAAACCTCTTCAAGCGATATTAAACAGAAAAAATCAAAAGATTTTATTATAATCGTCTTTATTCCACCGTAATTGTTATTATGAATTAGAGTAGTACACATTCCTACACTTAGTAAGGCTGGAAAATATTTCACTGAGTAGTTTTAGCAAGATTGACGTCTCTAGCCGGGTGTACATAGTGTGCAAGCTCACATATTGAGTTACGAAGGACTTGACGAAGTTTTAGCTTGTGAGTGTTTTCAAATTTCCTTATTAATTTAGCATTTTGATCTTTTGAAAGCTTTAGTTCAGCGCTCTGTGTGTTGTGGAGCGCGATCGCTCGGCTTGCAGTTTTCATAAACCAGTTGAATAATACCTCGTTGTTCTCCCACGGGACATCGTAAAACACGAATCGGGTTCGCTGTTATTCCCGACATTCGAAGAGAGCGAGTTGAAGTCCATAATAATGCACTTTGGCGAATGATCACCATATGGCATCATTATGAGGCACTGAGGCCGGTGTTTTACGACTACTTTGCTAATGTCTCTTTTCGTTAGCAAATGAAGTCGAGAGCATACATACCTCTCAAGTTTGGACTAAGAAAAATCCATTGTTCCCAGGCTGGGGGTGAAAACATTTTGCATCGGAAGAAAGGGCACTAAGACCATGTCAAATCTCCAAAGCTCTCTTTCAACATCGTGCTGACATGCCCTCCTGTTTTCTTAGCATTTCAATATTCACACTGTGAAATCTCGAGGGAATATGAACCTTCTTGGCTCCTTAAAAATCTCTATAATTTTTCAAATTGCAGTTTCTGGATTTGCAAATGTGCAGAACATCTGTCAAGATCAAAACCAGTACATACATATGACTCAGAATGATTCATCTATAAATTCAAATAAACTATTTCATTCTTCGTGAGGAAATCACGTTGACATTCGTGAAAGACGACCCTCAGTTTCAAACAATGACGAATGTTACAAAACTGGTTTTCGAACAGAAAAATCCTCCATCTATGGAGGACATATACCCCGTTCAGAGCACTGCGAAACTTTCAAATCCCACTATTTTTTTTCCTGCACGAAAGTACAAAGAATGCCCGGGGGGGGGGGGGGGGTGAGAAAGATGGTAAGGAACGGTATTGCAAGAAGGATGGATGTTTTTTGCAATCACAACCAAACAGGAACTGCTGAGAAATTTTCTTCAAGCGCTTGAAGTCTGTTTTTAATTTTATTTTCACTGGCAAATTGGAGGAAACTCTAGGTTCAAGAAATAGAGCCGGAGGTATATGTGAAAATTCTGTTTTGTGGAGGAAATATACATAAAAAATGAGCTATGTATGAAAAATTAAATGTTGTCCTGACTCCGTTTCACTCCTCCCCTCAAACGGCTTTTCTTGGGAGTCTTAGGAGATCCTCGTCATGTTAAATTCTTTTTACGTGCAGCAGATGGCTTTACTTGGAACTTTTAGAAAATCCAAGTCATAAAATTTTCACTCATATGCAATTTGATTATTTTCAAGGCAAAAAAGATTTTGAGTGTTATTTTCATCTCAGAATTCAACGTTTGGAATGCTTCTTCTGGAGACCGCATCTTACGCATTCTTACTTTGAATTCAAAGGTTGAGTAGAAAAATCTGAAACCTTCTATATCTGGCAGTAAACAAATCTTTGAAACTTCCAAAGAAATTTTCAACATTGATGTGTTACTCAAAATCAAACAAATCAATTTGTTAGAGGAAGTGAGAAACCGTCAGCCATTGTGCCGGACGTGTGATACATGCGGTTTTCCAGGTTTTCTAGTTTGTATAGGTACTATGGCTTGGTTTTGAAGCAACCAAAGTAAAAAAAAAATTGTCTTTATTGCTAAAACTCTCTCTCTCGCTGTATCTGTCCCAAAGCGGATTTGAAAGCAATGTTTGCTGCTCCAGAAGAGAGATAAACTTTTGGAGAAGATATAGGTACCATTTTCAAATTTATCTCCACATTACTTCACAGAGAACTTCATTATGCATTGTACTTTGCACTAAAATATCCAAACTCATGCATAAAAGCAATTGCGAACAGTTTTGAGGATAAAAATTCACGTGCAGCATTTTCAGTGCTAGCGCTGCTATACGGGGATGTTTTTTCGAATATTACAACCGAAGTAAGCAAGTGCCTGTGAAACCTGCAAACAACGAGAAAATGAGAACAGTGAAAGAAGAATAAAATACGAATAAAGCAGCTCGTTTGCACGTAGAAGAGGTGGCTTGCTACTAAATTTTGAACATTTTTCTGATTTCATCGGATCAAAAGCGATCGAGACAATTTTGTATTGCTGAAAAATTGATGGAAAAATATTCAAAAGTCTGCTAGAGCGTTATGCATCTATTCATTGTCTCTTAATTGTTCTTCTTCTACAAATAGCAAACCTCCTCAATCTAGTTCGTTAGATCCTGGATGGTGAGGCCGTCCAGTGGGCGGAGATTAAACCTGTCGGAATCTGCCCTTCCTCATTTTGTGAGTCAAATGCAAACTCTTTCCAAGACTTCTTTTTTTATAGTGTAAGTGCAAACTCTTTGAATTTTTGTTGATCCTTAGAGACTAAAAGTCAAAGTTTTGTCGTTCGAAAATTCCGTTTTCTCCAGAATTTTTTAATATCACATTTTTGCTTTAGTTTTGCATTTTGCCTTATTTTTCTACATTTAATTTTATTTTTGCCAATATGTGAGCTGCTCCAAGCTCAAATTTGCCAGTAACCAGTTAGCCAGAGCTTTTCGAATTTCACAGAATTGATGCTTGCCAAAAAATCTGGAACTATTTGGTGAAATATTCTTGGAAAAATTTTCGTCTTTTTCGAACTTTTGAAGTAGCAAACTTTTGTTTGTCTTTTGCCTCATTTTCTGTATTTTTCATCTTGTTTATGCTAATATGTACAAACTCTTGAACTTAAACTTGCAGCAATCACTCAAGTGGATTTTGAACCTGCTTACCAATTCAAAGAATAATCGGTGGAATATTTTGTATAAACTCTAGGATAAATGCGAACAGATATAGCAAGAAGTGCTCATAACAAAATACATTTAAATTTCTGTATAATATGTTACTCTTATCGTATTCTTTAATCCTTCATAAGAATAACCAGCAAAACAGAATTGCATTGAATTTCGAAAGAAAATTTGAGCATTTTGAGCTTTTTTCTGTTGACGCAGTTATTACCAGGTCATACTTGTGACCATATAATCCTTACTAATCTCTAAGTTTACAGCCGTTTAAAGGTTTTATGCGGTCATTCGTAAAGTAGGCCTTGTTTGTTACACAACACCCCGGCGCTTTTACGGGAATTGGGGGATACGACGTCTAGCTCACTTCCAAACCTCACCGGTTCCTTTTTGCGTTCCGGCATGATTTGATTGCTCACTGCATCGTTTCTAGTTTCATTTTCGTTCTTTGGCCTTTTATTCTCGATTTATGACTCTTTATAGTTTCCATATGATGCACATTGAGTGTCGATTGCAAAGTCATAATTTTAAACTTGAAATAGTTTCTCTTTCCTCTCGAATAAATCTTCAAAAGTTGGCGTATGCGATCTAGACGCAGCCATTCTTTGATCTTTCCTACTACTCGCTCAAAATCCCTCCCAATTCATTTTCCAAAAAAAAACATGAACTTGCCAACTGTTTTGAGTAACTGGAGACATTCATAGCAGTTTTTTTTTCTCTTCTCAGGAAGTGTGCGTGCACAGACTCTCATGGGCTGAAAATGACGAGTGTTGTCAGTGTGTCGAAGCTTTTGCACATATGGCCCCGAATAGGAACGTAATTTTATGCGCATACGGTTCTCTAAGCGTCGTTAATTATCCCGGCAACCCGTTGTGCTGTCTTCTCAAGTACTGTACGCTATTGCACTTTTTGCTGAAACCGGCTTTTGTGAATTATTTAAAGTAGCAGTTTTTCACTCCCACTTATAAAAAGTCAGGAACGATTTTTTTACTATCATGAATGTAACCTCTTCTTTATATTCCTGTTATATTATTAGGTTGGTGCATAATTCTTGCACCAAGATTTTTGAGATTCTATTACTTTTTTCAGCAAAAGCTAGCATCACTGAAATCAGAAGATTTCATCGATGCTAGATTATAGAAAGAGTAAATCTTGCGCTTTCGAAATATGTTTGAGCTAAAAATCCTTGAGGGCGTATGGCGGTCATACAAGCTGGTTAAGAAAAATACCCACAAAATGATTTTTCGATTTTTGGTCAATAAGAATCCAAAAACGTCTGCCAAAATTTGAAATCATTTTTGTCCTTTTTTTATGTCATACTCTTTTTGACTAAAGCAACTTGGTAGTGATCGGATGTCTCTCGATTTTTTAGAATTGATTCATTGATTTTGTTTCATATTGAATTTCTAGAATGTATTGTTATTAATTTTATACACAACAAAGAGGATATTCTGAAAGCTTTTGTTTAAGCATTCTTAGAACATTTTTCTTTCTATTCTTTTAGTGCAAGAATTGTGCATCCTAATAGTTTGGAATGTAATAAAATACATTATGCTAAAGAAGACCGCACATGCAAGTTTCACTTTTTTTATACCTATTTTTCGGTTATGAAAAATGCGCCCACCAAACTGTCTGTTTAAAATTGTAATCTCCGTTATTTGACTTTAACTCGTTTTCTGGTTATTTTTTTTTCAAAATAATCCTCAATATGTACAAAGTTCAACATTTATGATAAGAAGAATTGCATATTGAAATTGTATTCTTACCTTGAAAGAGTTCTTTCTAATTTTTGATGAAAGACTTAAGTTATCCATTATTTTTTTTCAACCCATATGTATGGTTCATGTTCCATAATCGAAGGCATTTGTCTTCAGCCACTTTTTTATGTGCATAAAAGGCAATTTTACCTCAGATTTGCCATTGTGGTCTCTAAACGGCCAGGAAATCAGAAATATTAGGTTGGTTAATAAATATTTCGTTTTGACATGCAACTTCGAGGCTCAATAAAAATTCAAGTAACTGTTACTAGCCTATAATTTTTTGCTTGTGGGTAGATTCTACCTTCCACTATCACTCATCACATAGAATTTACTTTTACAAGCGTTGAAAACAACCGAAATTATTTTTTGTAGCCAACCTTAAGCGATTCGCGATGGAAAAATCTTTTGCAATTGTTTTATTCGAAAGTAACGTAATTTTTACGACCACGAGTATTGAGACTCCAATTTTGCAAACGACCAGCAAGAACTAACTTTCACTTGTTCGAACACTTATTACGACATACAAGTATGCGGCTTTGGAAAAACTGTCATGTCTGTTCTAATTAACAAGTGGTTAAGACATCTTGGTCATCGATAGTCATTGTCGACATTTGTTCTAGTGGAATTAATGTATTTCCTTTGCACTTGCTTCACTTATGTCATTGCTAAGGATATGTTGCCATGGATTTTTTGGTGTTTGGAATGCGATTCAAATGTTTTCTAGTCCGTGCTGGATTTTTTGATGACATAGTCTTTTATTATGTTCTTCATTATTGCATATTCGAAGGAGGAGCTGAGATTTATAAAAACACAAAGGAATATACCAAAGGATGACTGACCGTGTTTGTTAAACAACTGTCATTGTTTTTTTTTTCATTATTGACCATGACTCCTTCGTCAAAGCTCTGTATACATCAAATAGAATTGCATGAGGGACTTGTTTCCTATTCTCAGCTACTGAACATTTTCTATAACACTTGATTTTTATTTTTCTGCTGTTTTTATTCATTTTTATTTTTGATTTTTGATAGATTTGGAGGTATGATTTAGACTTGTGAAAAAGTGTTTTCTTGGCTGCTTTCATGCCCGTCTTGAGATTTTGAAGCTAGAGTCCGGTAGAAATTAACAGAAAACATCATAGAAAAATTTTTGAGAATATTTTGGAGCTAGGTCCACAATGTATTACTAGAAGTTCTTCAAAGATCCAACCTCAGCTCCACCACTTTTACGAAAAAGCTACAGGAACACAGACGATTTTATTTTCGCTCTTGTCGACATTAATTGGTCATTCGGTAATGGAGAGCTGAGCGTTTGAACTGCACATTTCTTAGACTTAACTCTTTCAAATGTCATTCATTTCTTTTTGGATGCACTGTATGGATCCAGTTGCTTTCTTTTATTTTATCACTGCAAATTTTCCACGGAAACGTAAAGAGCGTAATTACTCTTTGACTACTTTCTATTACAACCAGCAGATATTCTACTCGTTCGGTGTAATATGAATCACTATTTCTAACAAAGATTGCTTTAATAATCAGATCCCTTGTGAAAAAAAGAATTCGGCATCCATTCTATTAGGATGGCGGACAAGTTTTGCACCACAAAATAAAACAAATTTTAAATAGTGCTTCCAAAAATGTCCATTTATATAACATATTGCTTGTAACATGCACTGAATGTTCCACTTTAGTATGCGTATGAGAGATATTATAATGAACAAATGGGTGCCAACAAAAAGAAGTCAAAATTCATGACTACCCTCAAATAACTACGATCAATTCAATTCCACAAAATGGAAAGCGTAAGCTGTAAAACCAAGATTTTACTCAAAACAAATTTTGCTGACTATATCATTTTATTAGATTGAACCGAAAGTTCTGTAACTTTGATTTTGAAAAAAATCGTAACTGCTCTCTATGTGAACCTACTTATTTACAAAAATTATCATCAGAAAGAAAAATCCATCTTATTTCTACATACATCTTCGCAATTTTCTGAGGGCGAGACTTCAGAGATGAAATTTTGAAAATGGGAACCACGCAAACTTCCGATTTTCAAAAATAAATCGTAAAAAATCTGAAACGCTACAGAAAATTCTGAGAGCAATTTCTCATAGATTTTACTGCTCTCTTAAACAGTGTCAAATTTGTACTGACCAAGTTTTTTTTGAAACTTATGATTTTCGTGAAAAATGCAAAAAACGGCAAAAAATGACGTTACATTTTTCGGTCAACCTAATAGTTATCAAATTCAAAAAAAGCTATCAGCTGGAATCTTCGTAGGCACATATTCTTGCTCAAACCACGTTCAGGAAGTACAGATTTTTCTAGTTATTTTGAAATAAACGTGAGAAGTGGAAAAATCTACAATAAAAAAATAAATGTTCAAAAATGAATGAAATATGAATAAAATCAAAAAGATCTTCCATCTTGGTACAAAACTCTTAACCCACCCTAATCGTAATCTCTCAGCCGTTCACCTTTTGATCTCCGTTTAGAGTACATCCGAACTTATAAGCATGTTTACGATGTTTATGTGTACGTTCTACGACCTCATAGTCAGGCGTTCCAAGATCTGATTCAGCGCAATGACCTCTCTCCATTTCATTCAAAACCAAATCTTGCTGAGTCACAGCTTTTTTTCTTCCCAATTCCTTCCATTGAGGGTTGCGGCGATTTATGTCCATTTCCAGTGAATCTTCTCCATTTCTTTGCTTAGAACTTGTTTTTCTCACCTATTCTCCTGTTGTGTGGTACTTCTTGAGCAATTAAGAAGGAAAACTAGTCGGCTGGTATTGGAAGTAATGCATTGTGGATAGGTGTGAATTTAAGAAAGTTTTTCTAACCTTCGCAAGATATTGGCAATTTTTTTTTGAGAATGACAGGATGGAAGATTAGATTTTCTTATGTTAGAAAAAATCACAATGCAGCAGATTTTTTATGAGAAATAAAAACTCTGGGTATATGCAATTTCACCTCAGCCTCTCGTACTATTTTTATGTAAGTTCTTCTTGTTCAGAATTCTAGAATCTCTTTCATTATCCATCTTGAGATTAAGTAGGAATTTTGCTGAATTTCCCTCAATCTTTTCTTTTTTTCCTCCTTTTCTTTCTTTATATACGCGCGTGTCTTTGCACTTCCTCTCCCAACATATCCACTAAAAATGTTCTGCAGTTACACCAGATATTTCCGGATTTGGAAGAAATTCAGTAAACAATGTTTGTTACCAACCTTGTTACGACGTCACGTGCAACACATTAAAGGTTCCGGCACCACAAGCTGAACTCAGTTCGAAAAGCATCGAAAAGTGTAACCAAAATGATTGATAATGTAAATTGTGGGGCTTTTTAATATAAAAGAAGTCTACACATCTCAATGGCGGAAAAGTTAATTGGGGAAGGGGGGGGGGGGGTAGTGGAAGAGGGGCGGGGAGGGAGCAGAAGAAGTGGTCAGTATTTGTGACCTGCGGACACGTTTACTACCCAGTAGAAGTTTGACTAAGTTTACCTTTCTTTACTACATTCTTTTTATACTCTTCCTGGCACATATTCCTTTTTTCCATCCTACTCCTTCCTAACAACCCTTTCTTTCAATATTGTTATCCTATGTGAGCTTGCAAACTGAAAAAACACCCAGCCACGCAACTAATCACCCCAGTCCGAGCCCCGTAAATCGCAATTTTCGACCGTTACTATTACGGAACGTGAGCTTGCTTGTTGTTTGTAAACAGGAGGCCACATTCGGCCCCTCCTACACTGTTCATCTTTTGCGGCGAGCAGATCCTTCGAAATGCCTCGAAGATGAGGCAATCCTTTGTTTACTACAATTCTGGATTAATTCTGACGCTTTTCATTTCTTTGCGTTCTGTTCTTGTAGGTTTCGTCCTTCTTACTAGTTTCTTCTTTGCGTCTGAGTACGCAACAATTTGCTGAGCACAATTTTCATGAAAAAATTGCATGTTCAGAGATTTTTTGTTGTTCCTGCAAAAGTTTCGAAAGGGCTCTGCAGTCAACAGATTTCGTTGTGTGGTTATGGAGTGCGCCGCACTTTGCATGTTAGCTGCTACTGTTGGCTTTGTGCCATCACCGGACACTCATGTAAGTTTTTACATTTTTAATTTCACTTTCTTTCCAATCAAGACCTTATCTAAATCTTTATAATCTCTTACTTGCTCAACTCAATACGTGTCTAGGTGTTGAGGTCTTAAAATCCTGAAAGTGGCGCATTTCATGCTCTCGCAACACATGTTTATCGACACCGAAGCAACCACGTAGTTTTCCCCAGAGAATATGTCAATCCAATAAATTTTATCCTATGACATTCTAAGCGGATTTTCAATATGTTTCAAGGAAAACAGATACGAAGAAGGCCATTCTTGGTGGTCTAATACTTGAATCTTTACTAGATTTCTAAACAACGCATTTTATTTGTGAGGAAAGTTACGATATCTTTCCTAATATTAATTTTCGCTCAAAAAGAGCTTTTCATGCTGCTGAAACCTTCTTCAAATCCTTAAACTTCTCCTAATTTTTCTTAGTAAATTTATTTTCCCTACATTCCATCAGGAATGAATGCGAGTTGTGAATCCTTCTCAAATCAGATTGAATGAATGTAAATGTTTGTGCGGATGGGGTGTTTGGTTCTAAATTAATGTGGTTCTCAAGCTTTCGAAAACTACCATTTTTGTTGATTTATAAATAATGTTGGATGAGTGGTTTATTTTTTCTCTACCTCTCTTCTTAAGAAAGACACGAACATTTTTTGGAGTAGTATAACTTCGGTCAAAATTATTCTCAATATTTCTGACAAATTTGAAAAGCCTGCTGACCGAGCTCTAAAAGCAACTCATTACTTTCTATGTTGTGAAGATGTTAGCAAGCGTATAAGCTTTTTACATTCATTTTTTCTCAAGAGTTGGAGAATGTTTGCAAAAGCATTGGCAACATAATTCGCCAAGGAACCCTTTTTTGACCAAGCTGCCCAGACAACTCTGACCTTCATTGGCTATTTGTCATTTTCTCGCAATAAGTAATTATGTTTTCGAATCATTATCAGCTTACTACCGAAGAAAATCTCATCATGTTTTTCTTTAAAAAAACCGCTTGAAGCAAATCCTGGGGCAGCGCCTGTCATAAGGAACCTTGTACAAGTTTTTTCAAAGTGACTTTCTTTTTTTCATCTGCGAATTTGCTGCAAACTAAAGCCGGAGACCTCAAGTGGGCTTGAAAGGACGCAGCAATTTCATGACGAGATAAATGAAAAGGCTGAAGAACTAAGAAAAATCGAAGTGCAATTTAGATGTCTCAAATTGGACGTGCACATCAAGTAGTTGGAGGAATCTTATTTGAGCAAAAATGTAACTCATTTTCCATGATTTATTTCTGTTCGGTACTTGTAAACAGTAGAAAAATTATTTGTATGAAAAAATTGATTTTCAGATTCTATCAGATACACAGTTGTTCTCGCTACATTTACACATACTATAATTATTATTAACTATTTGCTTCTCTCAGTTGAACGTTTTCATTTCTTCCATTTTTTGACATCAATCTTGTACATAATTCGTAACTCCAGTAGAGAAGCTCGGTAGCCAAACTTGAGAAATGCTTGAAAAACTTGAGAAAGCCAAATTGAGACTCACGCATTTCTATCTAAACTAGGTTCATCAAAAACTGTTACAAAGCAGTTGACTAACTCTTTCAAAAAAAAATGTTTAAAATGCATATAAAATGAGGTGTGAAGAAGCTATAATCTCCTTAAAAAATGCGACAGTCGTGTTGTGATTGTCTTTAAAACAGAGAACCATCTTTTGATTTCCGCAATTCTACTAAAATCGATAATTTGTTAAAATCTTTTATAGAGATGTTCCTATTGCGTGGAGGCCCGATCCACGTATCCGGATTGTTTTGAAGATGTCATCGAATGCGCCTACAGAGATCCTAGCTCTCTGATATTTTGCCTAAATGTTTACGAGCATGCAGCGTAGGTTATAGTCCTTTTCACATTTATTTTTTTATTCATTCAAAATTCAGTGAACGATGTGCTATCTTACTTTCCCATATTTTACTTGACCAGCCTTCCGTTGCTTCTTTTCAGAGCTTCGATGGTGCATTACTCAGCTCGTTGTCTGTCATATGAGAAGTTTTACGTCTCAGACGATGCTATTAGAAAGGTGACTAGTGTTGAGTGTAACATGATATTGTGTAGGAGTAGCTCAAGAAGGTTTTTTGACAAAACTTCTTTGTTCGTGCGAAGAAATCCTACTATGAACGAAATAATAACCAAGTTTGCCTGCAATCTGTGCAATTGCACGACTGGAACTGACGCAGTTTGCCTGTTGAGACCGCGTCCAGTGATCGAGTGCCAGCTCCGTGCTAGCACCGTGCCGAAGCACTACATGAGTACTGATAAATGAATCTCATCGGCACAGTTCTGCAGCGGCGCTAACACTGCTCTGGCACGGGCGGCTCCGGACGCTGTGCTACTCTCATTTTCGAAAATTTTGTTTAAAAACATCTTGCGTTCAAACGTAAAATCGAAGTTGTCATAAATGCAGTAGTGCTAGGCGAGCGCGCTTCTTGATAAAAAAAATCACTCTTTGAATATTATCTTAGACTAACGGCACGCCCTTTTCTTGAAAATTTTCTCATTCCCTCAGAAATGCTTGTGCACGCTACTAATGAAGCATAATTGTAGTAGGGATTCTTAGGGATTCACCTGTGCTAAGGTTTTTTTCAATGATTTTCGATGGGTCAAAGCAAACCATTTCTAATAAAATATGAAGTCATAGAATTATGAGCATACTTTTCCAGATTGGTACAAGTGGTATGTGTAAATTCTCTGATGTACAACCTTGTGAATGTGATGTCTGTAGAACACAAACGACAACGACGGAGCTAGGAATTACCTTAATGAGTAGCTCAGATCATACGTAAGTGTTTTCAACCATCATACTTATATAAGGTGTGATTTTAACACAGCTTTTCACACTTGCGTGTTCAATCCAATTTTTATAAGGGATGAAGATTTTCAAGATTTCATAAGGCTTTTATATCTCCTCTTTTCTAACCAAATCCAAAGCGTTTAGTTGATGTTTGAGCATGCAGCCTCAGTGAACGATTAGAAGGATGTAGAAGGAGAAGTGGGGGAGGGAAGGGGAGATGGAGGTCGCATTTACAGACAATATTGAATAAATTTGCATGCCCCTCCTTCAAATCATTGTTTTTATTTATAAATTCACTATAAATTTTTTTCGTTATAAGGGACTTCTTATGATCCATCGAAAGTTACTTCATAAATTGTATTTAGTATTGCTGTTTAATTTAATCCACTATGCTTGTCCCATTTTCCAAACTAATAGAAGCTGTCTACAATACAAATGAGGAGGAATTTTTGGTAAAATAGTAGATCGTGAGCACTCGTCTATCACTTGTTTCAAGTGTCGCTATGCCTTAATTTTTCGGTAGGAAAAATCTGAGGCTTTATGAAGAGAATCCGCGAAATTTTCCGTGGAGTGGAGGGGGGAGAGGGGGGGGGGAGCGGGAAGGAGAACGCATTTTGCTGGAATCCGTGTAAGCATAATAAATTTTGGAGCCATTTACATGTATCCAAGCCAATAGTGTACTTTTTAGGTTATTTACGTTTGACAGGCACTGAAGTACATGCTTTCTACATATGTGATGACAACTTTTCGTCAGATATCTTCATGATGTTTTAGGGGGGGGAGGGGACCACCACAAAATTAAGGCGATAGAAAACTCTGTAGCCTTAAGGCTCTAGCTATAGATCCATGGCTCTATTCTATTGAAATTCAGAGCGGAAACTACGGCTTGGGTAGATTTCCTCTCTGTAATGCTTGTTCTAATTTTTAACTTGAGCAAAAAATTCTTATCAACTCATGATTCTTAGTAGAAGTCCTACCGGTCTTGGAGCTACCGTCTAAAATTTATTTTGAAAACTTTGGCAGTTATCATATTTAACCTCGTATTTTGTCTTGCTAAACTCCTGCCCAAACCGTAATCGCGCAGGCTATCGCTCAGGAAGAGCGCAGTCTGGGAATGAATCCGATGATACAGGGTGAGGCAAAAGTCTGGGAGCTTACTTTGGAGTGCTGTAAATCAAGAAACTACTGAGGATTTTGACTCCAAATTTGTGCCACATCTTGCTGCGATCATCCTCTACAAATCACGCTTTGGCTGAAAATGCTTGCCATATGTTTTTGTAGGAGTTGGATTTATCAAGCAAGTGCTGCTCTGCAAAGCGAGATAACCGAAATTTTTGGGTCTTCACAACATAGTTTGTAGCTATAGATACAGTGGATAATAAATTTGAAAGCTATAGGAGCACAGTGGCACTGAATTCTGGGCTATATTTTTATTTATTTATTTATTTAATACGCACAAGGCGCGCCCATACAACAGAAGAACGAAGCATCACACCAAACAACCAACAACAAAAAAAATATAACAAAAAGGCAAACTCCCCACTGAATCAGTTCAAGTCCAGTCCGCAAAATCTTTCTGGGAATGGAAAGGGAGTGAGCTTGTTTAGACATATATGAAGTCATCACAGGTATAGAGGTTCAATGGAGTCTGTCTCATGCCCCCCGCTCTTAGCAAAAAATGCTCTTACTCAACATAAGCAATTGTATATGTTGGAAGCAGGTGTATTGGTAGTAATATTGATAAAACCCGCCCAACCAAAACTCTGGGGAGAGAACAGAACTCCGATAGAAGTTGCACAATGCAAAAGTCTCAAGCCCAAACAAGCTAGCCCAAGCATAACTGAGGTGATAAGACGGAACCAGACCCAAACTAACGCGTGAGGCATGAAAGTGTTAGAAGAAAACCAAACAGAGAACGGCAATAATTTGAACCAAGGTCCATTGAAGTGGTAGAGTGTGATCTAACATAAACTACAGTCCAACAAAGCATTCATTCCGCATCCCTCGACCACAATCAGCTCAGAGTAAGGATCAGCATGAGACAGGTAGAGTCGCGTGCCATGAAACCGCATACGAAAAAGATAGTGAACCGCATGGACAAGAGCGAGAATCTAAAAAGAAGACTATTGAGAGATGAAAAATAAAATAGAAGAAAAAGAAGGAAAAAAGAAGTGCAAAGAAGATCAAGCCTCAGAACCAAACCATGGGAGAACCATAACAACCATAAGCCCTAAAGACCAATACCCTAAAAGAATCTGAACACAAATATTAGAAACGCAACGCAATCAAGAAGAAGTATCACTGCTCAAAAGTTGAGACAAATCAGCTTTTCTTAATTTTTTCTTGAAGGCTTCACCGCCACGCACTGACATAATATCAACGGGTAAGCGCTAAACCATCTTGCACAGCGGAAGAACAGGTAGTTGAATATTCCAGACTGATGTTGCTTGATAGGTTTATAGTGCAGATTGAAACCACCTAGCCTCGTACCAGCAGGTTTGAAGATCCAAAATTTGCTTGCTTTTAATTTTATTTCCATGAGAATACGAAAACAAAAGACGAGGTCGGATATCATGCGTCTAATTCTGAGAGGAGTCAAGCTCAATTTATTAGAGCGTAGGTGACAGTCTGGAATATCAACTAGTGTTCCACCATATTCTTCCCATGAGTCCAATATGCAAACATGTAGAGTTCAATCGATCAAGCAACTTCAATACTTTTCGGAGTACGAGTCATAGATCCCGTTCGCGCAATCGTATCCAGATTCCCAGTATACGAGTACACTTGCCTTCAATTAAAACTCAAAATTTTTTTCCTAAACACTGCAAAAAAGTATGTAATACTGTTTTCTTATACCATACGAGGTTTAGTGAAGCTCTTTATTGCGGCCTTACGTTTCGACTTATCGTCGTCTTCAGAGGCCTAAAGTGGTGCGAGATTTTGATCTTGTGCTCTACTCTACCAAATGCCTTATCGACCTCTGAAGACGACGATAAGTCGAAACGTAAGGCCGCAATAAAGAGCTTCACCAAACCTCGTATGGCATAAGAAAACAGTAGCACATACTTCACGATGCCGAGGTTTCAACAAAAGAGGACAAGCTAACTACTAACTGCAAAAAAATTTTTGTCGCGGTACGTTGTAACCAAAATCTTGCTTTATTACACCGCACTTTTGCCTGGTGAAAGAAACAGTTACCGTAAAGGCTTGGTACGAATTTCATCACGACTCTCTGCGTCCCACAACAGGTGGATTCGCAAAGATTTCGAAGGGCTGCTTTGGAGCCAGAAGAAGCAATCTCAAAATTTTAGAGCAGCGCTGTATTTGTAAAGGTTCGATTCATGTGTGCACCGAATTTTTTGTTCCTAAGCACTTTCCTTCTGATTTTATTTGAAAAGGTACTAGGCTCCCAGAATTTTGCTCCACCTTGTAAATTTTTGCCCCACCTTGTAAATTTTTGCCCCACCTTGTAAATTTTTTGGCTACGAATAAATCGTATGTGCTACGTTTTACAAATCAAATACTAGCTGCTGACAATATAGTAATGATTTGTTAACACACTGATACGTGGTCCACATGATGAGTCATGCAAAGACTGCCACGTGTAAGAATGTGACCCACATGGTGGGTCATGGCCCGAAATGTGTTAAAATGGCTATTATTTTGGGATAAATTCGTCTCAGAACTTCTCTTATGCTCCGACTCTATAAATTACTTTTGCGTTTTTCGGTTGCTTCTCAAAGTTACTGGAGGTATACTGTAAATGACGAAATGCGTGATTTTAGCCGAAAAACTTTAACTTTCGTGAAAGACATTGTTCCACTGGCGGACAGCTAAAAATGCGAGCTGTCAAACAGTTCAAAGGATGTTAATACTATAAATTTCAGGAGAAAACACAAGCATCACCATCACCACCATCACCACCATACGAACTTGACCCGAAGCCATCCATCTGCTCCTCGTCTCTTACAAAATATTTCAAATCCACAGCAATCGGCATACAAGGAGGACGGTTTAAGGTTCGCCGCGCACTCATCATCCTCTCGAAGATCTTTATTATCAATTCTGCTTATTTCTACAATTACGATACTGTTGAAACAATCCTGTTAATGAATCCCATGCTAAGGCAAAACTTTGAGCGCTTTCACCAAAATCAAAACATTCAAAACATCCCTCATTTGCTCTCAAACCCTCAAAGATTCCTCTCTCTCTTTACCCTGGTCCCTCACATTATTTCGCTGTATTGATATGTTTTCCATTATTCGCTTTTGAGAACAAATGTATAATTCATGACATTACGTTCACTATTTCCGAACCGTTCCCTCTCAAACGAGGACATCCATTCTATCCGGGTATTTTTTTTCTAAAATCAAAAATTCACCTATCAACTTATGTCATTTTTCTCTTATGTGTTGATTTTGTTTGCAAATAAACATTTTGATTGCCTTGTGAAGTACTCCAAAAATTACTTGATTACCAGAGGAATGATAACGATCTATTAGTACTTTGCTGGACAAACTTGTGCGTATTTTATCCACCCGAAACAATTTTTCGTTGCATCTGCTTGTACGTGGTGATGTAAGGATAAAAAAAACAAACTGGATCAAAACTTCATACAACATAGTTGCTAAGAACCGTAGAATTTCGTTGCAAATAAAGTTGGCAGAATACAGAGGCCCAAAAAAGAAGAAGGGCTAGGGAGAAATAAAGTAATTACGATAAAACTGAGAATCCCGGTGAATTGTAGCATTGCATAAACCAGCAAAAACGGCTATCATTTTTGGGGTAATCTGAACGATGAAATTCTTGCCCCAAATGGAGGTGAAATCGACAAATAATTACAATTTGCGGCCTCATCATAATTTGTATATGTGGGCCATTTTTATGAAAACGAAGCTACATCCAAAGCCTTGCTCAGTCGACAGCTTATACGATTCATTGGAGCTCAAGATTAATAGCAAGCTCTTGCCCAGTATCGTGCTCTTCTTCTTCTTCTTCTTTATCTTCGCCATTGTCCCGCGGGGGCAGGGTCGGCGGTGGTGCATTTTTGCTTCCATTTGACTCGATCAGCTGCTTCTTGTGGTTTGAGCTTTGCAACATGCAGGTCGTTTCGAATGGTGTCCAACCAGCGTTGCTTCGGACGGCCACGTGGTCTCTTCCCCTGTGGATCTAGACGAAGTGCTGTTTTTGCTACTGTATTATCTTCACTTCGTAAAACGTGACTATACGTCGTAATCTGGCACCTCGCATCTTATCCGCGATAGGTGCAACTCCGAAAATGTGGTACATCGCCGTTCGTGACGCAGTTTCTTCTCGTTAGGCCAACTATACATCTTATAATTCGCGTCTCCATCGTGCTCAGGATCTGCTCGTGTTTCCTGGTTGCTGGCCAACATTCGGCTCCGTCAGTGCGACTGGCCTTACCACAGTCCGATACACTTTCGACTTGAGATACAACGGAATTCGTCGGTCGCAGATCTTATTACTTGCCGCCATTTTAGCCACGCCGCGTTCGTCCTAGCACGAGCATCAGTGATCGTGTCGCAATCCGACGTCACTCGGGAGTCCAGGTATTTGAATATCGTGACTTCTTCAGCAGCTGCCCATCGATGCTAATTGTGCCGTCGGTTTGCTCTCCGCATTCCAGGTACTCGGTCTTTGCTACGTTCAGTCGTAGGTCATATTCCGCTAATCGTGTCTTCCATCTCACATTCGCTTCTTCAAGCTCTTGTCTCGATCCGCTAGCTGCTAGCTCGACGTCGTCTGCGTAAAGGAGCGTCCACGGATGCGGCAGCTGAATGTCCTTGGTCACCGCGTCCATGCACAGTATAAAGAGAAGCGGTGATAGAGCCGATCCTTGATGTACTCCGACTTGGATTGGGAATGGCGTTGACGTCCCCACTGCACAGCGTATGGCGCCCGTCGTCTTCGTATAGAGGAGTTTGATCCAGCGAACGTACTCTTCTGGGACGTCATGTTGCCTCAGCGCATACCAGATCAGCCCGTGTGGTATCCGATCAAATGCCTTTTCTAAATCCAGGAATGCGAAATGAATCGGAATCCGTTTCTCCAAATGCCTTTCCATTAGCAATCGTACTGCGTGGATGGCGTTGATGGTGCCAGATCCTTTTACAAAGCCGCACTGAATTGGGGTGACCTCCACTATACTTCGAATGCGTGCGTCGATGACTCGTTCGAAGATCTTCATCGTGTGGCATAACAAGCGTATCGGTCGGTATGTTGAACAGTCGCTGACGTTGCCCTTTTCCTTCCAGATAGGGATTGTAACATTCGTAGTCCAGATTCTCGGCAACTGTCCGTCGACGATAATGCGGTTAAAGAGCGATGTGAGATATGCCGCTCCACGCTGCCCCATCACCTTCCACACTTCAGCAGGTATGTCGTCGGGTCCCGGAGCTTTTCCGCTAGACATCTTCTTCAGTGCCTGCACAACTGCCTCCTCGATCCGAGATACCGGTCCAAATGTGGGGGCTCCTTGCGGTACTAACGATTGCGGGAACTCCTCATTAAATAGACCTTTGTAGTATTCACTCCACCGCTTGAGTATTGCCCTCGACTTCGTCAGGAGGTTGTCCTCTGCTCCTTAATGTGCATGACGTGGTCGATGTCCTGCTTCGCTCGATGTCGTGCAGCGGGCAGTCGGTAGACCTTAGCTCCAGCAGGTCCTTCCAGCTCGTCGTAAAGTCTCTTGTAGTGTGCTTCCTTTGCTTCGGCTACCGCGTGCTTCGCCTTCGAGTTCTGTTCTCGATATCGACGAAGGTCCTCATTTGAGTGTGAGCGCTGCCAGGCTTTGAAGGCTTCTTTCTTTTCCTTGATCACTTGCTGGACTAAATCAGACCACCACCAGATCTGCTTGTCTACAGGCGTTCTGGCTTGGTGGTTCCCAAGATTGTCTCGGCCCTCGATCGTATCTGCGAAGTAATCCGATTTCACTGCTCTTCAATCGACTCCTTATCATCCGTCGGCACCCTCAAATCGTTAAAAGCATCTCTGACTTGCTGGCGATGTTCGGGAACTTCCACCATTTGGTCCTCTTTGTGGTCGTCCTTCTGGCTCGTGAATGTAAGTGGATGTTCAGTCGAAGATCCAATACGAGCAACCGGTGTTGTGGCGCAAATGCATGTGTCGCCGTGGGTATAACCTTCGCGTTCATCACCATCGGCAAATGGCATCGGCGCAGCATCCAGTAGTCGACCTGAGTTGAGCGGTCTCCACTCGCGTACGTGATCGAATGTGACTCCCGCTTCTTGAAAAATGTGTTCGCTATAGCCAAGTCCTGTGCTTCTGCGGCTTCCAGGATGCGTTCTCCATCCTCATCCTTCTGACCGTATCCATTTCCACCATGGTATCGCTTGAATCCATCGTGTTCGTGGCCAACGTGCCCATTAAGATCGCCTCCTACGAAGATGTAGTCTGCGGCGTCAAATGTCCTTAGGAGGATGTCGAAGTCCCTCCAAAGCACGTCCTTCTCGGCTTCGGTACATGCGGATTGCGGGGCATAGCACGAGACTATTCGAAGCGTGGCATCATCTGCATCGATTTTCATCGCCATCAATCTATCTGAAATGCGCGTCACCTCGGTCACTACTTCGCGGTATTTAACGCTGACGATGATCGCGACTCTATTTTGGCGGCTGCTATCTCCCGTGTAGTATAAACGATATCCCTCGCCGATGTCCTTGGCCTGCCTCCCTTTCCATTTCGTTTCCTGTACACATGCGATGTCGATGTGTCGCTCCTTCAGCCTATCACATAGCTCCCGGCTGCGGCTCGTCAGCGTTCCTATATTAATCGTCGCTAGTCGGATTTCCTGGACACGCTTCTTTGGCCTACCTCATCCGGGGGCAGGTAGCCCTAGCTTACTATTCGCGCCATGTGAGCAATGACGCGCGTCGCCTCCGGGAGACGCCCTGGCAGCTTGACGAAAATCCTTAATAGTCCGATGCATGTGACACGACTGATTCGTACAGTCCCCGGCGCGTCGCTCCGCCTGACGGGACAGTGCCCTCGTCGTTTGCCGGGGTTGACCCCCGTTGCCACCCGGCACCGTGGAGAGGTGACGATGGGACTTTGCCGGCCAGTATCGTGCTCTCCGAACGGACCAATTACCGTTTCCGATACCGTGGTGCTAGGATACAGAGTTGAATTTTAGCCACAAATAAATCATATAAGTTACGCTTCGACATTTGCTCATATTAGGTGTTTAGTCAGTACCCAGATTACCAAGATTTTTCGGACACTGTCTTCGAGTAGATTAATGAATGCTAGGAAACTGCCGTTGTTGATCGAAATTTTTGCGCAGTACCTTGTGCTCGGTCGACTAGAAAAGTCAAAACAAAGCAAGTAAAAATGCTATGCTATGTTATGGGAATTGTATTTTGTTCATTTCACTTTTGTATGAGTTTTATTAGGTGTTGCGGCTCGGTGGGCTCAGCACCCCCTAGCCGGCGGCGTGGCAGGAGTTCCCAAAACCTAGCCGCTTTTCCTCGCAGGGGTACTTGGCACCTCCAGAAATCCCTTGAAGGACAACACACCTTCTCGGGGCCAAAGGGCGGCTCCGCCCATCACTCTTCCCTCTAGGTGCCCTCATTCTAAATTGTGTGCATGCACTGTAAGACATGCCTTATTATATATGAGGATAATAGAACGGAATGGAGAAACAAAAAAAATTCTAGATTTTAAAATGTTCAGAATCCGCAGGTGAATTGCAGCATTTGGGAGTTATGTATTACTCATGTTTTCAGATAGATTGACGCTTCCTTAAAAACTTTTAAGTGATCGCGCCTGACTATATTTGTGAAACATATCGCATTAATATAAATTAAGCAGAAGTTATGAGTCTTCCAATCACGGTATATAACAGAAAAGTTAGTCTATTTTACGCAAGTTCTGAATTCATCTAAGAATATAGCGAATTACCACATCTTGCAAATTCAGTGTCGTATTTGGAATAGTTAACTCTTCGATCACGCGACGAAGTTTGGTAATCTAGTAGAACGATTGTAGGAAATACAAAATTTCTTTATGATAATCTGGGCCTTACTGATCATTAGAGTAATCGGAATGAAAAACTCTTTGAATGTATGATGGCAGACGATAAAAAAAGTATGTGTTTAGATATCCTATCCGTTGGATAGCGTTAAGTGCTTATTCGGAAACTTTGATGCACATCTTTCAAAATAGTCCTTCTGTTGTTGTGTAAGAATTGGGTTCTGAAGCTCCTGATGCTAAATTACTTCAATCAGATGACCAGTATTGTACAATTTATCGACTAGATCCTCTAATATTTCGAATGACCGCATTTTCCATTCAAAAATTTCTCTGTTATTTTTCTCTTCTTAGAGTAATGTTCATGTTGTTCTTTTTCAAAAGG